GTTATTATTTTTTTTATTTTTTTTTTTTCTTTTTTTTTTTTTTTTTTTTTTTTTTTGGGGGGGGGGGGGGTCATAAACATAACGGGGACGCCATAAACATAAGCATCTGTTATGCTTCAGTTTTTTTTTCACGCAAAAGAAAAAAGAAATGGAATATTTTCAAATTTTACTCACATTTTACCTGATTGCGCTTGCGGCGGAATATCAGGAACACAACTATGCAGATGATCACCATCACCAGTACTATGACGGAAGCCACTATTATGACTATTATCTTAAGATCATCGTCGAGTCTCGACCACCAACCCACATTACCTAGAAATATGGTTGATTAGAATATTTTCGAAAAATTGTTTGTGTAATCAGTAAAACAAGGAAATCTTTTTACGATATTTAGATTTGGGAATAAAAGTATATGCAATTTTTTTTGTATAACGCTGATGGAAATTGAAAATGGACTTACTGTTATTTCCATTGTGAGCTAAGGACATTATAGTGATGTAAATTTTCAAATGAACTGTACGTTATTATTGTGAACGGTTTATATAATTATTTTGTCAATAAATTTCAATTTTGTTATTTTCTACAGACTGTCTTCTGCTCACGTCATACTGGCTTGTATTGTTCCGAGTATAATAAACTTTGCCTGCATCCTAATTAAGGGAAGTAAATTGTTCAGCAACATTATTGTTTTGAATTGCACGACAAAAACTCATTGAATATTGGCCACAATTTGACGGTCGTCAAGTATGGTAAGGATGATTTAACGTTGGTAAACAATTTTTCGTTCGAATCCATATATCCGATGATATAAACGAGACACAATAAAATGTAATTCAATGTTCAGAAGTAAGAAATTTTTAAACTCTGTCAAATCAACGGCATTGCTTTGTCCAAGTCCCATGAAAATAATCACAAACGTGTAATTTTCACCCTGCGATATCATCGTTTCGATATGCATCCGATTCACGACGCAAGAGAAAGACTGCCCGTAATTAACAAAAGAAACACAATGATACCAGAGAAAAGAAGAGCATTTAATTAACGGTTCGAAATTGCTTCAAAGCACTTCACTAACGAAGAAAATCCAATAATCAATGCGTGACGCATTTTTGATATAAAAAGAAGAGATTCATTGAAAAACATAAAACAATATTAATGTCAAAGCTTACCATCAACGCGAAGCTCGCAGGCGTCTGAAAAGCCAATGCTATTGTTCGCCACGCAGACGTATATCCTGGTGTTGCTCACGGAGCTATCGAGCAACAGGTAACTATTGCCGTCATCACGATCCTCACCCACTTGCTCCAGGGTCTCATTCTCATTTTTGAGGGACCAGGTAAAATTGCATTCCTTAGGATTAGCGGTGGCTGAACAAACCACGTATTCCTTAGAGTTGATATGATGCTTCTCGATGGTGCACTTTGGTTTGACTGCATCGGAGATTAATTTTTTATTGTCAAAGAAAATATATTTTTACTATTATTTGTATTACATCAGTGAAGCTTCCTGATAGAACAATTCACGATACTCACATTGGACGTTCATGAAGAATGAAATCGTGTTGCTGCCAAGTTGATTTTTAGCCTCGCAGATGTAGGTACCGGTACTCCGTTGAGGCACAGGTGTCTTTAGGGCAAAAATATGAGTCTGGGAGAAGATATCACTGGAATCATTGCGGTACCATCGGAAAGTCGGTGTCGGATGTGCGGTTGCTCCGCATTCGACAACTTCCGGTATGCGATCCACAACCACGTCGACGACACTTTTGGTGATCGTCATGTTTACAGGTGGGACTATAATGTAAAAAAAAGAACCGGGATAGAGGGCGCAAAGCAAATGCCGGAAAAGATCAGTTAAATTTTCCTTTATAAATTGAAATCGGTCAATAGAATGAATTCCAATAGAGTGGAAAAGAAAAACAGCAAAACTAGAAGTCAGCCTATAAAAACAATGAACAATAATCATAATCAAAATTGATTACATTGCCAATAGAAAAGAACACCAAATACAATGATCAATTCGATATTGTAACTACGAGGAATAACTTACAATCGACTTTGAAAAGCGTGCTGCTGTTAACACCTGGACCAATGGAGTTGCCACTGCTTACACAAGTAAAGTTTCCGTTATCCTCGAATTCGTTCAGATGATGTCCTGGCCATTCTGTCAACTTCCATATAAGGATGGACTGAATACTTTCGAAATCATTGGTGTTGGGATTAGGTGGATGACGAAATTCTTGTAGATAGTAACGATTATCATTCGAGAAATCCATGGGGACGCCGTTCTTCATCCATGATATGTTACACATGGGGTCACATTCAACCCAACACTCGATACTAACGTTGGGAGAATTATACGGGGAGCCGTGATACGATGGTAACTTTTTTATAAAGGCTGGGGCGGCTGAAAATTTGAAAAAGGAACCGAGAAAGAATCATAATAATCTCGTACGTTAACGCTGATTAATAAAGACAACGATTAGCTATTGATCAATTGTTAATCACCCCAAACGTTGATAAATGTACTCGCGGGTTCCCCTTCGCCTGCCTCGTTGTACGCGAGACACGTGAAGTTGGCTTCAATCGTCAGATTCACAGACTTTATGTTCAGCACAGAATTTTTCTCGTTCGGAAGTCGCGAAGATCCGCGTGTCCACCTGTATCCCGTCACTTCCGGTCGTCCAGGATCAGCCACTAAGCAATTAATCCGTAAAGGACCCTTCCTGATGACTTGCTGCGGTTCGTACGATATCGTGGCAGGTCCTGGTTTATCTACACCAATAACCAAAATTTTCTAAAGCATCTCAACCTCTTTAAATGGTACTTTAAAATTCTGCGCAACAGAAATTTTATAAAAAGTCCAAAAAATTCGTATAAAATATTTAAATGGTACTGGGTGCTCTAGGATTAAATTTTTCTTACAATATACTGCAACCGGGGTACTGGCTGATACTGGACCCCATCCAGCATCAGTTCTGCCCTCGCACGAGTAATTCCCATGAAAAGATCTGCCGACAGCTTCAAGTAATAACTTGCTAGGATCGATGTCGCAGAACGTCGCCGAATCCTCGACGTCGCCGTCGCTTGTCGGCGTCGTCGAATTGCTGGCGCAGTCGGGAAGTTCCTTAAGAAGGTCACCGTCGAGATACCATCGAACAGCCGTGAGAGTCGTCGGGTAACCGGCGATTACTTCACAGGTCAAGGACACGTTAAGATGATCTTCCTCATTTACTGGAACTTTTGGTTCCGTGGTAACAGCTACAGTGGGTCTGTCTGTATATAAAAGAAAAGAACAATAGAAACAATGATAATAATAATATCCACCCAGTCTGGTACATGTAAAAAAGCATCAATTGCGCTATTCACGGCTGTAACTTTAAACGATACGATTATATTTTTTATAACGATTAATTTTTTTTAACTTAATTCATTTACACGCTGTCGTGTGTACGGTTGCACTTTGGTATTGCATTACTGAATGCCAGAATTATGATCTTGACTGCACCTACACGCATTCGCGCATATTACGTGTACGAGTTATTGCCATTTCCACAAATGTATATACATATATATAGATATAGATATATACTCACGTAGCACCGAGACGTCTATAAAATCCTGAGTGGTCGACTTGCCCACGCTGTTCTCTAGGATACATGTGTAAATTCCCATGTCGCTTGGGGTGGAATTTTTCACCTTAAGTGCCGTCTGCTCGGTTATTCCGCCGTCGTAATGATCCCCTTTCAGTTGGAGTTCCTCTCCGTCCCGTAACCTGGGTTACATTTTCAAGTAGATAAAGGAGGGTGAAATAAGAGGCAACGAAACGTATTATATAAACAGTATAATAGCCGCGTATTTCGTTTTAACGAAGTAGCATAAGGGTAGGGTTTTTTTTTATATTCAGAGGTATTCTCGGAATTTTGCAAAAAGAATTTATAAGGCAAGAACAAATAGAATTTCCAAACAGTTATAAGGTATTTATGATAAATAAGTCCGTCTTCTTTTTAGTATTCCAAATTGCCTAAATATAATAAGAGCATTAACTAATTATCTTATACATAGAATTACTATTGTGCCCTCTCTTTTACCTTGTAAGCTGCTTTCAATGAACGAAGATTCAACCTTACTACAAGTACGTGTACTCGCAGACGTCGTTCCTTCGCTCATAGGCAATTATTTTACCGTCTTTCAAGTATTTTTTTTTTACGTAAGCCTCCTTCACCTCGTTTGTAGTACCTACTCATCTTCTGCTGCTCGAAATCGTCTTTTATTTTTTTAATGTTTTAACTTTCATCCCCTTATTTTGCCGTATCTCGCGCCCGTTTGTGTTTACGTTCTTAGCTGATTTAACTTTGTACGAGTGCCGAGTCGTAATTGCATTCACGTAAGAAAAAGCATGTAATGATACAGTGATGTGCTTCAAAAAGCGTTTCGATAAAGAGAAAAAAGAACATAACCAAATAAAAGTAAGTACAAGCACCCACAAGAACAAAAAATGAAAAGTACGAGGTAGGAAAAAAAAAAATATTCTGCCTATCGCGATTAAGAAAAATCTACCTCTCCAAGGAATTACACGAAAAATACGAAATGTCGCTGATCTTCTTTTCTTTGAACTTTCATGGCAGTACTTCGCTAAATTATAACAAAAATTAACGTGAATAATTTTTTTTTAATATACTCTTCGTGGAATCTATTAACGGCGTTCTGCGCTGTAAATCGAAAAGATTTCGACGAACGTGCTAACGAATTCCTGAAGCTACTAATTGAGGGTGACAGGTATTTCAATAAGCATAAACTGAGCTGACTCTAACGTAAAACTTAAATATATTGACTATTGATACAAGATGGTGAAAAGGGCAAAGATATGTGTTGTCGGCTGTGGTGTTAAAGCACGACTGCATCTTCTGTCTTAAAAAAATAAGAGAGTCTGCGACATTACAGAAACTCTAAGAAGAAGGAACTAAGAACTATGAACGATCCTACACCCTTTTTTTACAATCTTATTAATAAAACATCTTCATCGGTTTTGCCGTCTACATAATTTTCAATGGCATCGAACATAGAAAACAGCCGCCATCACATTGGATGCACTCGTTGCCAGAGGAATTCATTCGCCAATGTTTTCGATCTTTAATAAAGCACAACGAGAACATGAGACTCCCTGTAGGCATATACCGGTATATATGTACGTACCACACATTTCTCTAAATATACATATGTATGTCTATATGGAACAGAATGACGACGGGGAGTAGTTCGTGCCGACGGTTGACGCTACTGAAGCGACGCAAGCGGAAAAATAATGCAGCACCACTGCATGAACTTCTCTATATACTTCTGAAAGGTTAGTTGCTGTCTGCAATATGCTTGCAAAGATGAAGGCGCGCACACAACCCTGCTCGAGATATTCTAATTTATCGGTTTCGGTTTAAAACTTAAAAATATCGCAGACCTACTTTCATCTCATATTTACTGTTCCCGACAATTGTGGGTCAAGACAAAGAACGATGAGTTGCAATGAAATAACTACATATAAATGATTTGTATAGCCAATTAAAGCCCGTAAGTATATCTTTATATTACTGTACGCGGTACCTTGCATTATGATTGTTGGTTAATAATTACAATAATACGAATGATAATACTTATAAAAATAATAATAAAAACGCAGCGTTACTTACCAAGTTATCTTCTTTAACGACGAAGGATTCGCTCTGTAATTGCAAAACATCAAAAAGTCTTCGGTCTCGTTGACGGTGATATTCTTGGGGTTCAGCTTGACTATTGGTGGATCTAAAGTAAAATATTATAAATGTATTTAAGTTATAGAAATGTCGAAGAATATATTTATGCAGTGTGACTGGAAGCTAGTGCAGAGAACTGTAGGAATTTTAAATTCCATTGTAAGGATAATCCGGAACATGTCTTTGCCATTTTGCAATTTTGAGGATGAAGTATCGACAGCAGGATAAATCCCGCTAAAGTGTGCCACGTCATAGTACGCCATTACGACAGTCCAGGATATCAGAAACTAGTTAAACGTGATCCTGCAGGATGAGGCCAAAGGAGGTGGAATACGTGACGAGGGTACGAAACGACGAATTTGCATTGAATATACCCTCGACAAGATTTTTTTCAGCTTTGAAGGACTTTACGGATAAAATAAAAAGAATATCAAGACGTCAAACGACCGCATTTGAACTTTTACGCAAAAAAAAGGTATAAAAGGAAAAAAAAGCGTAAATTTCGTTACAACAATTAAATTGACAATCGGCAAGACCTCTCATTCACAATATAATTCTTCGTTGAACAAAAATAACACCGAAATGGTTAAAAGAAAAAAAATTATTACACGTTTAATACTTCGTTATCATTATCGGAAGTGTTCGCGAATACTGTAAAGGGTAGATAACATATTTTTATATGCATTCATCCGTTAATAATCAAATTCTAAAACCTTTATCGCTTTATCGTATAGCTATGCGAATAAATATATATTGAAAAATGAAAAGAAAGAAATAAGAACGTGGAAGGAGTATGAGGAAACAGACGAAGAAATAAGAAAACAAATAGGCATCGGAAAGCGTCGAGCAATATACGAAAACTAGGACACTGCGAGTGGCTGGACTCGACGGAGTTTGAGGAGTCACGAGTCCCGTAGAGACATGATGCTGAGAACTAACGAGTACAGAGACGAGAAGTTCATAGTATATGCCCACGTCCCTATATGCGCTGCATAATGCATATTCGGGGATACGTAGGGGGGGTACATATACCGTATCCATGGATATATCCATTTATCTGTATATCCATATGCATCCTTAAAGAAGTGTGAATATCTTCATTCAACCAGTACAGAGTCGTGGAGCATATATATATTTCATACACATCCCTCTCTCTCTCTCTATATATATACCTTGTCTCATATCTACTTCCATATTCTCTCTCATTCGTTTCTGGCACACTTGCATATTTGCGTTTACGATCTTTCGTGTTGCTTTGAACGTGACTCTACGCATGCTATCCAAAGGTGGTACTGGGATCCTTTTGGGCAGCTTAGTGAATGCGAGGGGTGTTGGGATGATGGGATATGGAACTATGTGTGAGGAAGGTTGTACAGGAACGTGGGGGAGTGTATGGCTTGAGATATTTCGACTTTAACGGTGCAATTCCCGACTGTCGATAAAACAGGACCTAGCAGAGCTTTGAACCATACTCGGCTATATCCTTAGTATACCACCATGTATTATTACTATATTTCGGTTGTGCGAGTCGCGCGCAACCCTTCTGTCTCTGTGCTTCTGAGTGTGTCTGTATATAATACGGTTCACGGTAATCGCTGAACGCTCGACTGTCTCACAAAATGCACGACTGCCTTTTATTCTACGGTATTCGAGTAATCAGCGAGAATATGGGAACGGGAAGTAGTTTGAGAATATTTGAAATTTTTATTTTTATTTAAAAAAGGGATAAAAAAGGGGATGGCCATAGGATTCTATTTACGCGAGGAGAAATATTGACAGAATTTCTGCTAGTACCTGTCATTATCAGTGACTTTGTATATGGAGCTAAAATTCTGATTACATGTACGAAATTCACAAAGAAAAATGTGCTAAAATATTAGGGTTATTGATGAATGATGAAAAATCGTTATCCTTTGTGTTCAAATCAGACAGATTAATTACAATAATCAATTTACTGAAGTCTCAATGTTTCAAACAAAATTTCATGGTTGTCGGATGCTTCGAATTTGATGAATTAACATACTTTTAAGGTGTAGACGAAGCATGGTGTTTTTCTTCGATTTATGGTACATATGTAGGTAACACATATTTTTCCTACTTCCGATAACACATATTTTTTGTAATATATTGACAAACGTAATAAAATCAATTCTACTTACAATGTACGGTTATGGTGGTTGTTTTCTCCAGGCGTCTGGGACTCTGGAGACGCGTGATGTTATTTTCGGTGAGACATTTGAACGTCTTATCGTCGTCGTAAGCGCTGGCAGTGAATAACAGGTAACTGGTGGTCTTGGATGTTCCGTCGGCCTGCAAAAAATGTGTGGAATATTGACAAGCAGTGCGACTGATGTTTGAGATGAAAAATAATATAAATACATGTGTGATATTGATTTACTAAAAATTATGAACTTTGTATATTGGTAGAGACTTAAAAAATACCCTTAATATACGAATAGATACGAAAAGGCAATTGAAGCGGAATAATTAATTAAAGCTATTGGTTTTTTATAGATTAATGTAGTTAGCATTTAACCCAGAATAAAAGGAAGTTTCAGATTCATCCAAGAAGGAAAGTTTGAAGCGTATCTGTCTGGGGTTCAAAAGAGTTTATGGGGCGGTAGTATAGCAATTATATAGTTAACTTTGGGCTGTGCAAGTGCGTAAGGGAAAAAAGGATGAGATAGAGTCCAGACAAGAAATGAAACATTCCTTGACAATGGCGGAGCGACAATAAGACCTGATTAGGGAAGGACAATGGGTGACGGAGTACTGCAGAATAAGAGCTTTTGTACGGCGGTAGCTTACCATGAGACAACAGGGCAAAATTAATTCCCCAATTTTACAATCTTATTCATATCCGCATATAATAAGATGCTTACTTAAGAAATATTTTGGAGACAATTTATAAAAACCGTATATTTCTAGAAGATCTGTCTCTTTCGAGGAATGTCCTCGAAATACATATATATGCCCATGTAAAAATCCTACAGTATTTGGTTTGTTCAGAAAACTGTCCTCAAAGTATCTCTCGGGCAAACAAAAATTCAGAACCAGCTGCTACCGTATGGAAGTGCGAAGAGAATTACAAGGTTTACCTAATGTTGTTTTGAAGACTAATAAAGAGATTAAAATGTTTCATTTCGACCATAATATTAGTAACATGAAACCTATGTAAATCCCACTTGAATATAATCTACGTAAAGTGGTATTCAGAATACGGATACGCTTACGTTCAAAGCACGATGGGTAAATTTTATACACTCTTTTATTTTTTTCATGTATTTATCTACCATGCTCACAGCAATAAAACATAGGTCAATTATTTACCTATTTCAGGAAAAGAAAAATATATAGACCTTTGAGAGGATTATAACAAAATGAAAATGGTGAATCAAAGAAATGGTTATTTTGAGGACATTCCTTTAACCATAGGCCATTATCGAGAAAATCATTTCACCTTGTACTTTTGTATATTTTCATATAACTCAAATACCAAAATAGCGTACTAAAATGTATTCTTATCGATTTTTACCTATATTACCAAGAAACTTCGTTTTTTCAACATTGACGCTATCTACTGTTAGAGTAATTGTTGTAATAAATGGCAGTTGTTATTAAAAAAAAAATTAGTATATCATGTAATTTACAAAATTATTCCTCGATATAACTGTTTTCAGTATCATGTATACAATTTGTGCATTTCATCGTTCAATTGTAAAGCAAAAACGTCAATGGCCACAATCCAACGACTAATCAATCCGTAGACACTGTACCTGCATTGTACAACAAATACTAATATCCGAGTATATGGGCTCTCATATGCGCAACCCATAAACTACACAACCACCCTCCACCGATTATGGATTTGTATTTCTCATGTTTGCCAATCCTCAATCCCAAAACTCGATGTTTCCCACGTTATTCATTCCCTGGGATAATTAGCTTTGTTTGCTAAGTGTCTGATTACGCAGCAGCCGACACAGCTAGCTGCCTTTATCTTGCCCCATCCCTTATCACCCCTTCTACCTATCGCTACGGCATTCAGGGCTACAGAATTTACCTATTACCAACTAATTACATGGCGCTTTGCTCACTGCCAGCGAGCCAGCATTAATATGTGGAAAATGTGGTCGTGTATGTTTCTGCTTTAAAGTGTATTATTATTTTAACATTTTGACGAGCTTTTATTAGCGTTTCACTTTGTTAGTCCTTTGTATTATCAAAGTTTGTTGCCCTTTGTACTACCAACGGGTGACGTTCGTGATTAAAGAGAAAGGATGGAATACCACCTTGTAATAATTACTATGTCGATGACGTTGCTCGAATTAATCAGGTTAGTGTCATTTGCAACTTTTCAACATGGTTATTCGATCTGTTAAATTAAATAGAATTTTATCAGTTCAATGCAGACAAAGATGAGACACGAGATTGGATTCTCTAATGGATAGAGGTCCTTATGAAAATATCGTGCAAAATAGGAACAGACAGGTAACGGTATAAAATGATATACTTAAGGGTGGAGGGGGGGGGGGGCTATAACAATTAGAAATGGTATCTCTTATAAAGTTGCAGCCTGATTATTACAATGAAAATACTGATAGTGTATTTTTCAAATTTCAAAAATGGTCAAAATTTTGTGTATCCATCTCGTCATCACGTACAGCTAAACTGTCTTAGTGATTTTAAAAATCCTATGATGCATTTTGCACCAATAACGATTTATAACGAAAGATACATTTCCGTTTCAGTAGCTCATCGGTTTACCAATATATTTTCCAATACTTCGTATAGATATAAAGGTCAGTACCTCTTTAGTCGTTTTGTGATACTTTTCATTCAAGAACAACTGCTGCCACCCCCAACCCCCCTCCCAAGCCCCAAAGAGATATTCCCGTTTGCTTCCGCCCAACGGATAAATTCGCTTTAAAGCCCGCGAAAAACATTCGGATAAGCCATGAGGTGAATACGGAGGTTGTGAGTAGGGGAATAAGGTGGCTCGAGTCAAAGGTTGAGAAAAGCTTGGCAAAGGTAGGTGGAGGTTATGGGGATGAAGTAAAAGAGGGTGGGATCATAGGCCAGTAAGTTGAAGCAGGAAGAAAATGCTGAAAGTAGGAAGATTACACGGAGGTTCTTTGCTGCTGTTGTTGTTTTGCCAGTTGTTCGAGGATACACTTAGCGATGTAAAACGGCAGAAGATTGTAGGTTGCTGGGACTGATAAGAGCAGGATATGCGATTCTTATTGTTTTTGCGTCGCTTTGTGCCATCACAATGAATTTCGTTTAACCTTTTATAGCTATCTCTTTGTTTCGAAGATTACGATGAGAACGTTACACCGAAATTGAATGGATAAGAAATACAATATAGTATATTAAAACGTTATACGGTTAGATAAGCATAATAACGATATTATGCTTTTATTATGGGCACAATGCGTATTTAATGTATATTCCGGATACCTAATTCAACCTTCTCGAAAACCTTCGAATTGCCCGCCTTAATCCGAGAGCTTCACAATTTTTCTCCCGGGCCAGTCGTAAAGATGCTTTAGCATACATATTGTTCGCGGAAAACATTAGCGAGTGCTGGGGCCAGTGGCGTATCTATGCTAATCGCAAAAGGTAGTAGTACGTACTCAGTCCTGGACTGCCACGGTATATTAATTTACATGCTAACGACAGGAGCCTATATATATGTATGTGCATATATATATATATATATATATATATATATAGCGCGCATAGAGCTTTAGAGATTTTGTGAATTTCATCCTAAATTCGCTCATATCGTGTATTTAATATACCCTTGGTCTCACCTTAAAGATATATTCAAAAACTTGTTAAACTCCAGTTAGCCATTTGACAAGACTATTACATAATGATCATTGACATATGTGGACTTATATGTATAGCTTGTACAGGTAATTGTAAAGCAATTGTAAAAATGATATATTTTTTTATTGGCTAATACAATTTTTTCTACTGGAATTATACGCGAAATTAACAGAAGTATATGCAGAATAATTTTTGCAATATTCTTAAGGATCATAATTTTTAACTTTGTATAAAGGATTCGGACGTGAGTTAGAATCCGGTCATGAAACTAAGTCCTGCAATTTTCCTTGGATAAGTCTTGCACACTAACCCTGAATTTATACAGTCTCCAACTCCCTCATTCGTCCGTAAATCCGACTAATTCGCATTTCATTGGCCGATAACTTGCGGGAACGCGAAAATTTCGCGAAACGTCAGGCCATTCCGAGGCTCTCGACATCCCTGGTCGTCTTTTGCGACCTTTTCTACACACACTTTTTCACGCTTTCCCCATGCCAGACTCTGCACTCGCACCAACAAGAAAAGAAGATAATGCCACGGGTGTCAGGGAGTTGGAGATGTCAGGGCCGCAGCCCAGATAGCTAAACTTTTTTACCGCCTCCACCCCTACGCGTTTTTTTTTCCTTTTTTTGTTCTTTCTCCGTCTTTTTTTCGCTTTCTCCATCGCCAGAAATTCCTGAGATTTACGCGACCCTGTTGGTGACATTTGCGCATTTTCGCGGGACTCGATTCCCCGCGACCGTCCCTGTTAACGATTATTATTTATTGATAAGGATACGCTCGAGTGTTACTGGAAATTTTTGAATGCAAATTTTCATTCTGATTATAGACATTTTTCTATATGCCCTCACGATTGGTTATATTAAATTTCGATTCGTACGGTTTTTTTCAGTTATTATGATTACAGTGTAATAGCAGTAACCTGTAATGTTACGTTTTTCACCCTCTATTTAACCCTAACGTTTTCAAGGTAAAGCTACAAATTTTAGCAGGAAAAAAGCGGGCTAAAGAAGTACAATTATGAGGGTGATGCTCTAGAATCAAATCGATTGAGTCAATGTCATGCTGGTTTGACGTTTCTTTATTATATAACATAACCAATGACAGAATGAGAACCAATTGTGAAACCAATAGCTATTATTTTCCCATAGCCAATTTATAATAAAAAGCCTGTATTCATCATCTGGTGCCGTAAGCTCCCAAAGGATTATAAAAAACAAAGATCAGCACACAATTCACGACAGTTTCACAATTATTCAAAATTGTGCACGGTTTAGGAAAATATTTTAGATATAAATTAACAATCTATGAGTTATTAATCAGAAAACTGGATCCAAAAAATAGCAATTCAGGAATTACATGGCGTTTCCTTATTCTAACTTTCCTAACGAGTATTTCAATCATTTTGAGCAATAATGCATTTGATAAAATGTACGACACACATATATTTTCTGTAGTCCATTATTAGGTTCTTTGTGTAAATTGTTCACACCTTTTTCGAAATTATGACCTGGTTCTGATAACCTAACATAAATATAATATAACTTTCTGAGTTTACGTTAGATTGCAATTTAAAACCCAAACTCATACCTTGGTTACGATTACATCAACCCAAAAGTCCGATCTCAGAAGATCGTTGTTCAAATCAGAATCCGAAATGGTTTGAATTTATTGAGACTATTTTTTGCTTCTTCGTCAAAACTTTATAGTTAGTTAATAAAGATATATACTTTACTCACACTCAAATTATATTCCGTGCGTAACATTTCAAGTCGATCATTATCCTTGGTTAGAACCGTAGTCCCATTGTACCATGTAACATTCGCAGGCGGTTTGGCTTCACTGGCGGTGCACTCGAGTACAATGTTCGTACCCTGTACTACGTGATCGACAAACCCGGTGAGATCCATTGCGAGTGGTGGAACTGCGAAAAGAAAAATTCAATAAAAAAATGAAAATAGTTTAACGAAAACATTGATTCGGAGAATCATGAGTCAAGCACAAAGTGTATGAAGTTAAGCAAGGTCATGTTTGGTTCAAAACTATTTCTGATAATTTCAGTAAAAAAAAAGCTACGCAAAGTGGTTAGTCAGAAAGAGACTTTGAGAATAATACCATAAGATATATCAATGCTCATATGAAGGGTCACTTCTTTGATAATCTAAATGTTACGAGCACCCTTGTTGTGAATGATTGACGATAAGTTTCACAAATTAAAATAAACTGAACAACGTTTGTTATATAAATTTACGTTATACCGTCGGTGCTTAGGGGTTAAAATCTTTTTTAAGTACTCTTATAATACTAACAAGAGTTGCCCAGACTCGAGTAAATGCTCGATCGTAAACCTTGGCGAGGGATGCCGAAAAAATTAATAAAACCTACTTCTTAAAAATAAAAAAATACCCCCAAGGTATAATGCAAGGTTCGAAGAAGGGCAATAACACGTCACGGTGTACTTGAGAATTTTAGATACTAAATTAAAACAGGGGTAGGTATTTTCCTTGGGGTATGTTTTAACCCTCCTGTATACACTGTCGACCCTTTTGAAAAAAAAAATCTTTGCCGTAACCTCGTTATAATATTCCAATTACAGTACCCTGAAGAGGCACTACTTAAGAAGATTCGTAAAATTTCAGAAACCAGGTCGTGTTCTCGTTTTAAATTTGTCTGCATGAAGGACATAATTGGAAATTTTGTTGTATCTGACACGAACGAGAAAACAATCGCGAAACAGTCAAAATTAAATTTCCTAAGGTATTAGGACAGGTATGTCTACAGTTGGTTTAAGAAACAAACGAAAAAAATATGAAGTAGCTACTAGCATGTTAAAAGGCAATGATACGTAATGTTACTAGATTTTCGCTAGGGACTTTTTTGAAGCATAAACTCGTACGCTAAAAGAAAATGGATATTTCCGAAGAATTTTTCGTGACATGAAAACACCCTTAAGGTTTTGCACAGGTTCAATTAATTTTCGCTATTTTTCAATGGACTATTCCTGGCAGCCTGGTTTTGGCATCGGCACCAAAAGTAAGGTCGATCGAAGTTGAGATAGTGGTAGTAGTGACTGGCTGAACGCGCAAAGGCTGAAACAGGGTGGAAAAGAGTATGCGAATCTAATATCTCGAAATTGGATTTCTCTAGGATCGACAGGAAGTCAAGTCCGAAGCAAGTGGCGCGTCGACATCCGGTTTGCAGGCTTGCCTATTCTATCCTATGGTAAAATATGACAAAAGGTCAATTCTTTCGGGAGTTGCAAACTTTTGGAACTTCAAGAGGTTGCTAGTACATACAAGCTGGATTCACGTGAAACTGTGGCTAAGGGATGGTGGGAATGATTCTCAGGAAATATGTTGATGTATTCGCGAAGCGACCATCCGCAACCCTACCTACTTTCCACACCCCTCTGTCTGGTTTCCGCGCAACCACACTTAGAATCGAAAAGCATTCAACCGCCCTTTCAAAATACAAACCACCCCCGACAAGCCTCAGGATATGTGACTTCCTGTTGCAACACAAGACTACATTTCTCCATGTCTTTCTGCCCTTGTATTTCTCCCCTATGTGTTTCACTTGTGTACTGCCCCTGGGGGCTAAACTTTTATTCCAAATCGGAAACAAGGGGACGTGCCATTTTCCTTCAGAATTTCGAAAGAAATACACGAAACTTTTTGGCGGAGTAAGTGGGAGGGGGCAGATAGGGTGGGCGGCCTTGGGGAAAAGATACGAGGAGGGTTAAACGGGGGGGGGAGGGTACAACTAAATTTTTTTACGATTTCACGACCGCATTTACGTGAATGAATAATGACGAAAAATATTTCTCGAAAAATACGTACCAATTTCCCGCGAATTCTTTCTGTATTTTGCCATTCTATTACCATAGATAGTACTTTTCTGTTCGCGAACATTATGCATAATTATTAATCGAGTCCGTTCAACGGAAATTGAATATTCCTAGAAGAAAAATATGTTTTTCCGAAAATTCCGATATTTCTCGGTCTATTCACGAGATATGAAAAAAGCGCGTAAACGGAATATGAAATGGCATAAAAAATACGATTCAAACAGAAAAGAAGACATAAGCAAAAATATACCGTAAAAATAATTAGAGGTCTCATAAAAAACAAGTAACGATGAAATCCATAAAAATTTTCCATAAATGACGCGACGATTATTTAAGATTAATGATTTTCATGAAAAATGGGGTTGCAATAAAATATGCTACAATCGTGGCACATCAACGGACGTAAAAGACAAGGGCCATTAATAAGGATGGCATCCGGGGGTAGTTTTGTGGAAATAAAGGGAGAGACCGGCCCGAAGTCGATAGGCAAAGTAAGTATTTATTGAGTGGAAAAACGACGTTCGCGGTCCCTGATGTACGAGGGGCGATTTATTTTGAATGGTTTGTAACTTTAGGGTTTGGTACGTAGGTGATTGGAGAATTCCGGTCAGGGTGAAGGGAGTCAGCGTGGCCGTTCGGTAACGGGGTGGGGTGGAGGGAATTGGTCGGTAAGAAAAGGGGTGGAAATCAGTGCCGGTGGGTTGGTGACCCTGCGCTTAAAATTTATGGGAAAGCCTGCTGGAATTACAGGCGATCTGTCTAAGGAAAAATATACGGATTGCCATTAGGGTTAGATTCCATTTGATTTCTTTTTAAAATCTATTAGTATTTGTTTCTTCTCTTTTTATTTTTTCATTAATCATTTCTCCTTTACAACTTATTCTTTTTATCCGTCAAAATTGTCTCACGAATTATTATCCTATTTTTTTAGATATCGGTTATTATTACGTTCCTTTTTTTTCTTACCGTGTACGTTCAAGTTGATTTCAACTGTCAGAGGCTCCTTCAAGGCTGGACTGCTCGTTTTACAGGTGAACACGGCGCCCAATTCCTTCCTTGTGATTTGCATTTGTAATTTACTGGAACGAGCGCCAATTCCATTTTCATCAACCTTCGAGGTACTGGTGGCTGAAAAATAAGAAGAAAAAAAGAATAACATACGAATAAGTGTAATCGACGTTAACAATAGACGAACGAAAATCTTCTTTATGGAGTACGAAAGACCCATTCGTGGAAACGTCAACTCTTTATGTATAAAAAAAAAAACGTTTTGATGAAATTGTAAGAAAACAAAAAAGCAGCCAATAGCTGCTCTGTCCTTCGAAAGTGGTGCATTCGCAAAGGAAATTTGAATTTAAAAAAAAAGCAGTGGGTATCATGTGATACTTGACTTCAACAATGAATTAAAACATGAGACCAAAGGAACAGAACCAGTTTGTCCACGAAGAGATAACACGGTGCATCAAAATCGTGCTTGAGGACCTATATATTTATCTCTATATTTTTTTTTGGTCATCCAACCATAAGGGATGAATTAAAGAACTTCGAACGTCTTTTAAAATGGAGACATTTCTGCGGATAACAGGAGTCCTCAAGTGACACAAGCCTTAATTGAAGTTTAAGGGCTGTCGAGGCAAGACGTACCTAAGGCCTGCTACGGGAGAAAAAGACGAAGCGGGATTACGTAGAGAAAAGTAGAAGTAGAAATAGTGGTAGTTTTACGAGGGAAGTTTTTCCATTGTGAATGAAAACGATAAAAATCTGGAAGGCGTCGTAAAATCGTTCCCTCGGGGAATCCGAAGGGAAAAAGGAGCGGACCCTTTAAGGGTATAAATTTGATAAGGGGTAGTTTTGGGGTGAAATTCTACGTTAGAAGTTTAGGATAGATCGAAGAGTATCCGAGGGGTGATGAAATTACGAAAAATCATCAATTTAGTGCAATTCCAATGTGCGTGTAATTTCTTATCTTCTTTCGACCCTCAATCCTCTTCCCTCCTACGACCCTGTTTCAGGGTTGTGCTGGAGCTTTAGGTAATCTATGTAAGTCCCATTGCTCATATTTTGTACAGTTAATCTTGCGGACTAAACTGATACCATGTATTCTATCAACAGCTTAGGTCTTTCGCAAACGCAATTAAATATCCCAGTGAACATTTTTCGCCTCTAAATTTTATGAAAGAATTAATTCGGACTTTGCGACAATAGTGCGAGAAAGCAAACATCATACGCAGGCTGTGAAGTTAGTTGCTATACCGCACGAGTATCGTATACAGTTTTTTAAACAAATACAGGAGAAATGTTAGTGAAATAAGAAATCGTATGAACCGTACTACGACCGGGTTCAGGGGCGAAGCCCCATTTTAGGAAGACAAAATTTGGTAAGTTTCATTTCCCTGAATGCCTTTAAACATTGAGAAAAGTCAATAAATTAAAAAAAAAAACAAAGAATTCGCAATGCACTAGAAACATTGTGAGATACTTATTTAACGTCTTTTTTTCGCAGTTATTTTCTCTCATCTTGCTATTTTTCTCGGAAGCGTCGCGAAAGGGGTGAGAACTACGAGACAAGCGGACGAGAAGGAAATTCCGCGTATGAGAATGAAATTGCGTGTGAGTAAAAAATTTCGCCGACATGCGCATGCGCCGTGTCAATAGAGAGCGCCTTACTGAAAAACGCCACTTCGGTTACACTCAGCGAGCACGAAAAGTAGCACTTCTCATGCATGCGTTACAAGAAATAATTATCGATCTATTGATTACGACCAAACGAAACTCGACGTACCAAAATCCATTTCCAATCGAAACGTATATTTTAAGGAACATTCTACCTGTACAACCTCTCAAAGAGTCATCGTTAATTCCTACCGCTGGAGTATTTCACGTCGGATTGGTAATAATTTGAGTACTTTCTAACCTTAGTTACTCATCCACTTTTTATTGATTACGTACTAACTGGGTTCACGACAGTAGCGTGTTGTAGATACAACCGTATCCGTGTTATAATTTATGCTTTCTCATTTTTCTATATATTTTGTCAATAGGGAAAATTTGATGTAAGAAATCAATAAAGCTGTCTTTCCTCTTCTGTTTACCAATCCCCTCCATTTTACCTATTCCGTCCTTACTCTTATATTTTGACTGGAAAACTCCTCCCCGAGCAACTTGCCGCCATTTTCCTTTTCATCCCCCCGAGTCCACTTCCTGGCATTTGTCACAATAACGTCGCCGATTACCGCGGGTCGAATCGCGAAAAGGGTGAGAGACGAAAAATCAATAGATTATCGATAAGAGTTGAGACTGAAATTTACCAAAGCGACAATTTTCCTAAACGAATTTCCAATTTTTCACCCTCAACGTTGGTAGGCGGAAAGCAACCCCACACGTTATCGACCTTCTGGAATTCGGCCAGTTCTCAGGGGTAGCAGTGGATGTCATTGGGCATGGATTTGTATATCTTACCCGAAATATCTATTTTACATTGGTTTTTCAACGTTCCCACAATCATTTTTTTAGAAACATAGCAACAATAAGTTCTATGTAATCTCAAATTTAATTTAAAAAAAAATTCAACGAATTTTGGGATATTTCGAAAACTAACCGGAAGTCATTGATAAGAGGAGACAAAATTTCGTTTAGAATGGTTGAAACGATATTTCCATATCACAATATCCCTAGCGCTATCGCGCGACTGTTCCTACCTTCCCTCCCTCCTCTACAACCCTTATATTTCTTTCATCCCTTTTATCGAAGACTGTCACTGTCTCAAGTGCCTCTCGAGGCCGCGAAGGGACGCAAGATTTCGAATCGTCTCATAAAGGAATAGTGTCTGACGACTATTTCGTAAAGTTCGATTCCTAGATGGGATTTCCCAGGGAGACCCGTGAGTTCCTAAGAGTCCTGGATGTCCCAATAGTCCCGATAAGGGCTACCGTAAACGTACTTTCCTTTTCCCCTAGGCTACCGTTAACCTATGAAGCACTAAGAACTGGTATTAGCAGGACGACTGGGTTATCGAGAGAAGGGAACAGCGGAACGTAGACAAGGAACAGTGGAGAGGAAGAGAGGAAAGAAGCCCAAAAAAGATAGGGGTTCGAGTCCAGCAATATATCCATATAGCGATATTGAAGGGATAGATGGAGTGTAAACGTAGGGTAGGATGCTAGGGAGTTATAAAGTGTGGAATAAAAACCCTAGGATGCATTCATTCGTGAGTAGCCAACCTGGGGGAATTCTCATACTCTCGAGAAAACGTCCGATCCTCTTGGCAAACATTCTTTGCTTTACTTTTGCCAACCCCTTTCCGTTGCACTTTCGCGATACAACTATCTGTCAAGATAAGGGATGGAATAGAAAAGAAACGGAAATGAAAAAATTTATAATTATTTTCACTTACATTACATAACTAAAGCTTCTTTATTTTATACCGTGTTTCATTTATATAAAATGATCTGCTTATAGTCAATCCATGAATCAAACATAAGGTCTAGGTGACTCTTTTGCACTGACAGTCGTATCGATATGGCCCCTCTAAAACCTAGTTTACTTATATACAAATTATAGATATTTCTGTAATTCGTAAATTTTTACTGGAGTTTCAACATTTTTAAGAGTCATCTTCTTTAAGAAAAATCTAACCGGATTAAAGTAAATCGTGGTAGCTTTGGAAATTGAATGGTAATTGGAAAAATAAATTAAAAGAACCAATTGTTCGTGACAAATCGAGTCTCATAATTACCTGGGTTAATGGGTTTTTAATCATTGTAATTTAACTAAGAGGACTGCATTGACGAGGGTGAGAAAGTAGAAAGATTGATTTACAAAGGAAAGAAGGAAAGGTGTGACAAACGCGATTGAATAAAGTGAAGGATCGCGTGAGACGTTTTCGCATCTTCAAGACTGATAAATTAAAAAAAAAAAATGATGAAACGGTAAAAAATAGTAAGAGGGTGGTTTTACAGTTAAGAATCTTCTACTCGCGATACAGGGTTGTAAAAGAGGGTTCATAAATATTTCTTAAGAAACCAAAAGTCTTATCGTCCGCTATCCCCGATTCCCTGCCCTCTCGTGGTATCCCATCTCGCCACGCTGAGAGGGGGGTTTCCATCTTCAGGCTCTATAAGACGGGAGACGGGGAAAGGGAAGGGGGTGAGCTTCGGACGCAGCCGCATAACTCGGCAAACGGAACTCTTGAAATATCGTTTAAGGCCTTGGGACGAAATCTAATTTCCTCCCTTAGAAATTTTATATCGTCCTGCTGCGCGCATATTCCCTAAAATTCACTACCACCCCTAAATCAGTAAGCTAACCATCGTAAGGGTCTGAATTTTTTGCTACACCACAGAGATCTTATGATATCGATAAAAAATGCTTGTCAAAAATAAATTTAATTATCCTTGATCATGTTAAGTAAGGTGTCAGCGAGCTTCCTCTTAAATATTAAAATACTTTATTATTTATTTATTTACGTAACTCACCTTCGAGACGCTGATCATCTCTGTACCACTCCACCTCCGGAACTGGTCTTCCCTTGTCGCTCTCGCAATTCAATATTATTTTGTCACCCTCGTTTATGGGTCCCAATGACGTCCCTGAAGGTAGGGTTGATTTTGACACCTCGTCTATCACTCGAACGTATTTTGGTCGTACTGAAATATAATTGGAAGAACAATTAATATAAATGTTAAAAATTATACATCCGAAAAACAATGTTATTTTTTTTAAATTAGAAAATTTGAAGGTCACAAGGGAATCGATTTTCTGCCAACGTAAATAAATCGACACATGAACGAAACTCTGAATAAGTATCAGCAAGGAATTACAAAGGTAGTACAGTCGATAGGGAATGTAAGCATGACCATTTTGGAAGGTACTTTTGCGCTACCCTGTACATAGGTAGTACCTTTAAGGTAGTTGGTAAAAGAATATTAGAGTTTCTCAGATAGCTGATTCCTTTCAAGAGAGTATTCATAGCTAAATAAGTAATACGGAGGATTGCAGTGGAAAAAGAGGGTTGAGATTCCGGTGCGCTTCTGACTCTTCCATGAATTTCCAGTCTGAGACTCCTAGGTTAAATGGTAGTGGACGAATTCCCTGTAAATGTTGCAGATAAAGATGCGTTCGTAGTCAAGCGAATAATACTTGTAACAAACAAGCAAATACTATTGAGGAGCATTGTGCGTTAATGAAAAAAAAGTTTTTTAAAACTTTTAATAATATAAAACGAGAGTGAATACAATTTTTTTCAATCGTTTTACGTTCATCCCCTACTCATCTTGGATCCCTCTCTTTTGATTTGATCTTTCTTTCATGTTACCTCAATTGGAAATCTCATCCCACGTAATTCGCCACCCGGTCCTTGGAACAAGGATTGAAGTCACAGGCGCGAAATATTCTTCCATGCTCATTTGTTGATATTGGATTTTCTTTCGCCCGCCGGGAAAAAAACCTGCTGCTGACAACTTTCTTAATTTCGAGAAATTCCTATACCAATTGCTCTTAGACACTTGCAATCCTCTTTGTCTCAGTAACAACTTCTCATTTTCACAATATTCAATCCTATGTATTATCTACTGTGTGTTTTGAGCTAGTCATAGAATAAGGGTATCTTTAGAGCGAGTTAGTCTTTGATCGATTAATTAAACTGTAATTCAACATTCCACTTGTCATATTATAATCCAACCACAGTAATCCGCTCACTAAAGTTTATTCATATATGTACATAAGGATTATACAGAGTTTCCATGGTTTTTTAACTACCATCTGGATGCTATATAACATTATAGATTAGGGGTAGCATACGAGGGAAAAATTTAAATAATGAAATCACTTTCGAGTTAAGCTTACTATAGCGATTTATAAGCTTATTATTTGAGAATAGCTTTTACGTTTATGAACATAAAGTTATAATCATCCGTTTATATATCATGAGATTTACGATATGTTGCGTACAAAATTACTTACAGCTAATAGCAATGAAATCAGTTAAGTTTCAAAATAATATCTTTTTCTTGTAATTCAATTTTAAAGATTGTAAACTGAAAAAAAGTTTTACGAGACAAATGTAAATATTATTTCTAGCAATTGAGGCACTATTTAAATTATTATCGATTTGGTGAAAATTAACGTCACTTATTACATTAGAAATTGAACAGCCGTAAGAATAGTACCTCCAATTCCTTAAACTAGAAATCACACAAGTTCCTATTAAGAAAAATATATTATATTGAAATTCAAAAACCTGCAATTTTATAAAATATCCCAAAAAATGAAGAATGAAAAATAAGAGATGCGAGTATGACATTTTTTAGAAAGAAAATGAGAATTAAGTAGATATCGTATAAACCAACAGTGTGTAAGTCACGTGAAAAGGAAAGTAGGTAGTAGCAGTAGATCGTGGATATCCCAGTCGTCAAATTCGTAGAAAAGTTTAATTAAATGCGCAAACCCGTAAATCCCGCTGAGTTTAAGTGACCATTGTAGATTTAAAGGACCGAGTAAAACAGAAGGGGGTAGTTGACGAAGTTGATTGTTAATATATGTATACACAGAATAAATAGCTGTGTCGCTAGCATGCTATTGCTATGGCGTAGAATAATGTCTGTGGTGCGTAGGCCAATGCGCGGGTTAGTCGTAAAGTATAAAGTGGAAGGTTTGTAATGTACATTAAGGTAGCTACATATACACATATTAACTATACGATGATGCTATAGGTCCGTTTTTAACGATACGGAAAGGTTGGTGAAGTACCTTTTCTGATAATAAATTATAAGAGCCACTTTTAGGAGTGGAAAATCATTTGCGATAAACGTTGCCTCCTGCAATTAAAATTTTGAAAATACCATTTCCACATTTTGGACTATAAACTTCAAGTAGCTACATGTACCTTTACTTCGGACCTGTTCAACATTCATTAACAAAGTCATCAGTCTGAAATTGCATTAAAGTTGAAATTACAACTTGAAAAAATTTTTTTAACAGCGTTGCTTTTGATTTTTCTTTTTCAGAATGCAATGCATAATATTTTACGATTTATTCCCGATAATCTAGGAAATGAGCCATGCATGCTCTGAGTGGAGAATAAAAAGTGTAAGAAATTGGAATTGCACTCGATCGAAGTTCAGCGTTCTACTTTCGAGTAAGCCAAAGTAATAGGTTAGCGTTATCAGGAAGGCTGGATGAAACCTGGCGTAAGAGTCTTTTTCATTCGTGGTGGAGTTTTCGAGGGTGAAAGACATCGTAGATCCGCGTAAAATCCCAGTGAGGAATGATGGAGAAGTGAAGGTAAAAAGTAAAAAAAAAAGAAATCCTGGACTAGCTAAATAAAAGGGAGGGTTGAGGTAAAAGAAATTACGGGAAAGTATGTTGGCGAGAGTGACGGTTAAGGGTGAAGAAAGATTTGAGGCCTGTCACCTCGTGCAAATATTTGACCAATCCCTTCTGTGGTACCTTGGGATTGGAATTAAACGGTAAGACATAGACCAGAGGAGTGATGTGTATATATGACATAAGGCTGACGAAGCACTTCCCCTATTAAGTGTAACGGTCCCTTTGATTTATTCCGAAACATTTAACTTTCAAAAACGCGAATAGAAGGGGATGGTTTCTCGTTAACAGTATAAAGTTAATGGGTGAATCTGAAATATGTCTATAATAAAAAGAAAATCTCTAACCCCTCTCTTTGTCGTGACAGGATTAAGGAAATTATTAAAAAAAGCTTACAGGCGCTCTGAAATAAAAGCGATAAAAAAAGAAATTGAAATTTCGAACTCAATCGGGCATAATACTGTAAACACAGTACTGTATCATCAGCAACCCTCGTGGGGAACACGGATCATTAGCTAAAGTTCGACCAGGAATTGGCTCAAATGTTTTTCACAAGCTTTTTTTTATTCACTTCTTTTTTTTTCCTGATGGTGCATACCCTTTCACGAGATGTAAACGCTTTTCAGCTTTGGTTAAGGGTAGTTACCCTATATGGACTCGAGCCCATTCTATTTTCAAAGCCCCATAGAGACCTATATAGCCAGCATTGCCATTTCAACCCTTAACCGTGCTACTTCGGTCAAATGGTGGTCTCGTTACAGGTTGAATGATTTATCGGTTTTCATCCATCCCCTCCCCGAGGATTGGTCGCCATTGGGTGGGACAGCCGAATCCGTTGCAATTTGCAAATTTCTATTTCGGACCTTGAACATTGCGATTTTACGACGCTTTAACTTACGGTTAATGCAGATCGACTCGATATTAGCAAATCTTCGACTTAAACATTCACAAATTATTCATTTAAAGGTCTTTTTCTCCCCCTACTAGCGTAGAGTCGTTCGCACGTAATAATCACAAGTGATGCAAATTCAAACAAATTGAAAATAAAATCATACCTGTCCAAGCAGTATATATGCAAAGGGTATCAAAAGATCACGTAAATATAACCGGAACAAGGGGTTGCTAACAAAAAAAAAGTGGAAAACGAGGACGTTATAAAGAGCAAAGAAGGGTGGAAACGGCAGGAAATTCTGGCTGACCAAAGAAACCGGAATGGTAGGAGGAGCAATCCAGTGGTACCAGTAACATAGCCAGAAACATCAGTTCTGCCAACACAACGATCAGAAACGTTACAGATACCTTCATAAAAGCAACGGCACTAGATACTACCACCACAACAAGCAAAATCATAGCAGTACTACCAACGCAAAAGTAGCACCCCAACCCATCGCTAGTAACGTTAGCAACGAGTACCAACCTAAGGGGAAGCGTCATCATCTCTTTTTTGGACGAATAGGCGGAGTCGTTTGGTTTCCCGAGGGAGCGTGAAATTAAATTCCTTTGCCTTCTCAATTCCCGTGGGATCAGCTGGAATGACGAAAACACTTCGTCACTGACCCGCTACCCTCTTAACCGGTATCCCTCCTTCCACATCTGCACACCACCGAAACCGGAAAGACACGAGAAAGAACCCTAGGCTTACGGTAAGAAACGGAGTACACTTCCTTAGAAATATTTCGTTCGCTACTACCTCATTTGCATCGTCAACTTTTAATTCGATTTAGGATTATTTTATAATTATTTTATACCTCCGTAAATATTTGACGTATTTACGTTGTTATGCAATATTTCCTGCACCCTTTACAATTAGATATACAAATTTTACCAAAAATATTGCAATCTCTATATATACTTATATGATTCACCAAGAATTGGTCAATTGATCATTTAATGCTTATCGATCTACTCTCCCTTTCCTCGACATTGGTTAATAGTATTAAGGTATTACTACGAACCGAAAAATAACAAAAGTTTCAATGTAAGATTTGAACAATCCAGCGTCAACTTTTGAACTGGTACAGTTCACTCACACACGCCCATCCCTGCATCGATAGGCCCACACTAATGTACATTGGATGTAGTAGTGTATACGTATATACACCGAATACAGTCTCAAACGCAATGTTGCCGTGACGCTCTTTTGTCCAGTAGTCGTACGAGAGATTTCGTAATAAATATCGAACTTCTTTCATGTCTATCAATAAATGCTATGAGTAAAAAGTTCTGACTAAAAATCTAAAAAATTCCTAATTTTTTCCTTTGCCGCATACTAGTTTTTCATCGGAATTACGCGGACGAGTCAAATGCAATAAAAAAAACCATG